TTTGCCAGGTTTCTCTTTATCTACAGCCAACTTCAACTCAGCAAGTTCCTCTCGCATCTCCTCATCAATCTGATAAAAGAGGGGAAAAAAATGGTGAGTAAGCACCTATCTATCTATGTGTCTGTCTGTCTGACCTTTTGTCTGTGGAGTGTGTTGTAGCAGTAGATCTTTTTGAAGATATCTTCAAAAAGGCTAGACATACAAAAAAGCCCTCAAAGGTTTTACAACTGAATATGAGGAATGGGTCAAACTTTCATCAGTCCTATGTCAGCGACTGGTCTATGGCAAAATTTCACTTATTGCTTTTAGGCAAAATTCCTCGTGTTTCTTTTGTTTTGGTTTTATATTTTTTTGTCCTTTTTGCACCCATGTCTTCAGGAAGGAGGGGCAATATCTGTGTGAAGTTACATCCCTTTGTTTTTCAAATCTTAAAAATTATATCGGCACAAAAGAAAATATTCTGGATGCATACACCAGTAGAAATATAGCATAGTTGATTAATCAACTAGGTAAGTATACAAATTACGTTTAAGAATTTTAAGCAACAATTTGAGCTGACAAAAACTGAGGAAGGTTTTATGGTTTAATAAAAATCAACAGTGACACGGATACAGTAATACCTGTAATCGAACTTCTGCTTCTACGATTTTTCTCATTTCTTCCTTAATCAACTCCACTTCGTGAAGCTGAGCGAAGTTTTCAGACTCATTACGGTTTTTCCAAACCTCTGTGAGTAGAAAGACTTTGTAAAGTTTTATGGTAATGCCAACAATTCTTTCACATGACTTTTTTAGTTAGAGGGGAGAAAAGAATAACATAGAATAAAACCATGATGGCATTTTGTCTCACAAGCGTACTTGTGAATGTACTTGTATTGTATTTGAAAATTGTATTTTCATAAAGATTAAGGACTGTAGACAGTCTTCAAACATCATATTTCTTTAACATTTTACAAGTGAAACCACCTTCATATCTTTTGTTTGCCACTTCCAATTCTGAAAGAAAAGCAGATGGCATCATCTTCAACCCTTCCTCATCCTGTGAATACGAACAAAGTTCCATTACATCACCACAAAAAAGCAATATGCTGTCTAAGTGAGAGGATGTAGAAAATATTCACTCATTTATAAATCGATTTATGAATTGGTGAGATTTGCTCTAATGACAAGTTCAAAGATTTTCACTTACTTCCTCTGCACCCTTCCCCTTTCCCTTGTCTTTCTTCCCTTTTTCCTTCTTGTTATCCTTCCCTTTCTCTTTGTCTTTCCCTTTTGATTTGGACGTTGCTGCCTCTTCTTCTTTTAAAGCAATTTCTTCCACTAACTGCAAGTGGTAAACAGTATTTTACAAAATATCCAGAAAACATTTATTTTTGCATTTAATTCATAATGCATTTTACCTGCTGAGGGGTTTTTTCAGCAAATATGATGGCTGAACCTCCCTCTTCGACAGTTGGGTAGTCTGGAAATAGTCCTGTAGCATTACTTTAAAACATAATGAAGGATAAAAAATCAGTGTCATTCATTGACTTCAATAATTTAGAAAATACTTCTTTACATCAGCAAATGCAACCCTACTGCAAAAAAGAAAAAGGATTCATAGGCCCAAACCTTACCGACATTCATAAAACCACTGTCGAATCTGATTTTTGATTGTCTTGCCCATGTCATTCCACTCCAATTCTCGTATTTGCTTCAAAATGTCATTTATTGCGTTTAGGTAAACTTCCTCGTATTTCTTTTGTTTAACTCGAATGGAAGCGTCAATAGCTTGGGCATCAATCTCTGCTGGAAGAGGGGCCTGGTATTTTGGATCCATAACCTTGCAAAAATAATTAATATGTTAATAAAATGTGCTTGTTCCAAGATTTTAAGAAAGGTAATTAGGGCAAAAAGAAGTATTCTATCCTAAATTTTAAATGTCAAATTTAGAGTAGAACATTTAGAGCTCAAGCTTAAAGTAATGCCTTATCAATATCAATAATGTTAACTATCAATACATAAATGGTAGCTTTAAAAAAAATGAAATAATTTCAAGGTTCAGAATACACAACAAAATGGATCAATTGACTTACCATTCCAAGAAAAATCATCTCCTCATCTCGAGCAATCTTTGTTTTCTTTCTTTGTAAGTACCCCTTCCACACCTACAAATAAAGTTCCAGAATGAATAAGGTCCAACAAATCAATGCAAGTCAGAGAAAATGTCACATAATGTTTATGAGAAACAACCCTCTGAATGCGCATGGCGGCCATCTCATTGAAAGCTGATCCGGCGGTCTTGGCCCTGTGCCGTCTGTCGAAATTGCTAAATCTGATTTCTTTGTTTAACTTCGCCCTAACCCTCCCTTGCCACGCCCTCTCCACCATTTGAATGATCTTGATGGCCTCCTCTTCAGTCATAACTCTGTCCATTGATGTCTGCAGGGACCACACAAAAAATAAATAAATCACACAAAAACATGATAAACAAAGCAACACAAATAATTTTCTGATTGTGAATGAAAGAGTGACCTGCTAAATATTAAGTCTTGCTTTTCATGAAAAATAATGTTTCATGTCAATGTTGTCTTTAATATTAAATGCTTGCATGTGTACCACAATCAAATGAGTTATCTCAAGTCTAAGTCACAAGGATTGCTATTTACAAATAGTGTCATTGTAACCTACATCAAGGTCTTTTGAACCCTCCGCCATTTTCAGGACATCCAGCAGCATCGTTTTTCGTTCTTCAATTTGGTTGCTGCGCTCACCGACAAAGAAGTATGGAATGGGGATCTCAAGTGCAGACTAAAAAGACAATGAAGCTAAGAGTTTGAGAGTTATCCTCTACAAATGCATACAGTATCATGAAAAACTATTGGTCATTTAAATATTTCTTCCAGTTTTGTTTTTTGTAATAGTTACTGAAATGCTGTCTTAGTTCCAGCTGTGATGGGACACACACCCACCACAAAGTTGTATTTTTTCTCATCAGTCCATAGAATACATTTCCCAAAACTTGTAGGGGTGAGTTGCAAATTATTAGTGGCAAATGTGAGATGTTCCTTTGTTCTTTTTCATGAGCAGTGGCTTTGAAACTCTCCCATTGTAGCCATTTTTACACAGGGTCTTTCTTATTGTAAGGATTTAACTGCATTAAGCTTCTCTCCTTAGTATATGAAACCATAATTTTAAAAGTGTTTTTTGTGTTGACTCAGACTATTTTTGGCTCATATTAAAATTTGTTTCCGAAGCTTTCAAGTGTGATATAAAGCAAAAGCAGAAGAATTCTGTAAAGTCGCAAAAACTTTTCCACAGCACTTGAGGTTCATCAACAATAAATATACAGTGTAAGAAATTTAAATAAACCTATTTTCAAAAAAACAAAAACTTACAGGTGTGAGTTTCAGTGCATGCAAGATGTCATCCACATAGTGGTACTCCGAAAATTCTTTTTCTACCATTTCATACTTCAGTTCTAGCACCCGGCCCATTACGCCCTTGAGAAGCAGAAGAATAAGTCGTCTCTTCTGAGGGTGGACCAGCATGTTGTGGGCTTCCTCCAGCTGCCTGAAGACTTGAACATAGCGCACATAGAGGGTTGCTAGTCGCTGGAAGAATACCACTCTGTCTCGCTGAGGTGGAAGGGGCACAGGTGGTAGTTCTTCAGCCAGGAGCCTATTCAGCTCTGACATGGCCTCTTTCCAGACCTGGTTGTAGGAACTGGAACAGCGTAAACACAGAGATAAAATAAAGGAAAGACAAGAAATATTACACTATGACATTGTATTTCAGGCAAGTCTCCTAATGGAATAATGTATTGTAAATTGTACTTCAAAATACAATTTAGCATTAAGATATAGTGTTTTGTACTTGTACTATTACAATATCAGATGCATAGTATGGGGTTGAATTAGAGCCAAATTATAATTTAATGAATTATAAAACCATAGAGCACGTTTGATTATTTGAATTAATTCAAATGTTTGTGAAACATCTCTAATTATTGCTTTATTACTCCATTTACATTGTGCAATGCATTAGCGCCTTTGACAACATGACAGTGTTTCTTGATTGAACGCCTTACTCCTTTCACCATCATTTTTTGATTATGGCTACTATGTCTTTCCTTCAGCATAAAACTTTTCTCCAGAAACAATTTGGCTTGCTCATATGGGCAGCTGAAAATTTCAGTCAAACTTCAAGGCTTTCATGTAGGTCACTGACCTCTAAATCCATGTTGATTTAAACTCGCTTCACTGCGGACAGGGACACTAATGTTCCAGTATCTCCAAATTCAGTAGGTTTGTACCTCAGTGGATTATTCCTAATTATTCTAAGGATTTTATGTCCACTGAAGATGATAGCTAAGGTCAATATTTGAACACAAGTTGGATCTGTTAACAGATGGAGTGAAAGTATTTGTGTATTTTAATCTGCATGCGTAATCTTGACCCTGAGTGTTAGAGAAAGCTCAAAATAACTTCAACTCGACTCTTCGTAGTTTCTATTAAATAATCACTTGACTGTGAATAACCATAAAAAGTGGCTATAGGACGCGTGACGTACTCTTCTCAGTGGTTCAGTAGATTTCCTGCCAGCAGGATGTTGTTTGATTACTTTGTGGTTTGAAAGTTACTTTCTTTAATCTTCTCAAAGAACCAAATAGCATTAACTGAACGCTTTGACATGCATTTTGACTGGCAGGACACCAAACCTGTAAGTAGTTTTGTTGTTTGTTTTTTTTCTTCCTTGATGTGTCTCTGAAATCCTCCCATCAGGAGCTAGCTAAAATATCTCCGAGAAGCTAAACACTCTGCTAAACAACCGTAAAAACAAACTCCACAATGGGTTTTTTGTTTGTTCTTTTGGAAAGGTTACCTTTGCGACATGTCTGTGTATCAACGGTGTGGGGGCAAAGCAGCACAATTATCAAATAAAGTGCCAAAACGGTGTTGAAATGCAGCGCTCCGATCAGAGTTCCGACGTTGGTTTCCAGGCTAGCCAGTGGCGTTTACTGTTTCTACGGTAACCGCTAACCGTTGGCGTAACAGCGGAAGTTTGTATTGTTGACAGGATTGTTTTGTTTGCTTGTTTTTTACGGAGTGAAAATAACTTTACGTTTGGTATTTAGCTTAAAATCAAGAAGATATGTTTTAAGAAACAAATAAATAATTTTCGTACTTTTATTTTTTTTTCGGAGAGACGTAACTATCAAAGAACGGAAACTGTGTTTGAAGTTATATTGATAAAAGTAGGTGAAAGTAACTAAAGAAACAGATTTATTATTTATTTGTTTTATTGTGACAATAACGTGGACTACATCACGATGGGACTTGACAGTTTTTGGAAGGTATGCTACAGAATGTAATTGCTGAAGTTGCTGGAAATATAGAAGGGGCTATAAAGCATAGCAGAAAATTGAGTGGAAGGAAACATGCAGCAGAAATGACTAAAGGCTTAAGGGTTGTGATCCAAATCCCTTTGAAGAGTTTGAGGGAGCGTCATGAATTGTGGGAAACTGCTGGTGTCGATAATTTAAGAGGCATCACATACAGTCATCTACACAAATACTGCATTTCTTCTTTTTCTCCTGAAGCAGAGACATCTTCAAAGCCATTTTAGAGAAAATAAGCAGGACTATCTGTCAGGTATCAAAAGTCCTCCTTTAAGATAAAAGTTTGGCTTTTATTCGGAAATCAAGACCCAAGAATCGGTAGGTGGAGTGGAGAGGCACAGAACTCCACTGGTAAGTTTTCACAGTCAGTGATGATTTGGGGAGGGGAGCCATGCCATTTCTGTTCTTGGTCCAGTGTTTTTTATCAGGTCAACAGTCAGTGCAGCCAGGAAATTTTAGTGCACTTCTATTATGGAGATGTTAATTTCATTTTCAAACAAGACCTGATCCCTGCTAACAATGCCTTAATTGGCAACTTTAATGAACTTGGAATCATTGGGCTTCCCTCATCTAAACCCCATACAGCAAATGTTGTGAAAATAAATTAACACCTCAGCAGAGCTGCATTGATGCAGTAGTTCATGCTAAAGGGGCTCTGACAAAGCACTGGGGACAAACACATGCACATATTTTTCAATGATCCAATAGCTCTGTATTAAAGTCCTTTTTTCATATCCTCTCTATATTCTACTTCCCCTAAGCAGTGCAGGTTGTCAGTACCTGTAAGCCATAATCATGAAAATGAACTGAAATAAGCACAGGAAATAAAGCACCCTGTGTGTAATAAATCTGTATCATAAATTGCAAATGCTTAAATAAATTCACTTTACAAAGACGTTTGAATTTATTGAGATGCTCCACTTTGTTCTTTCAATTTTCTTTTCTTAAATGGGATTTGGCTTAGAAATATGAATGGGATATGAATACAATTAAGACTTCATTTGTAAATATCAGGCATTGGTCTAAATATATAGCTATGCATTTTAAATTTCGCTCCAAGCAAAGGGGAAAAGGATTTATTTCGTTTTTTCCTTTATAAAAAAATTCCGGTTTTAAACGGATCCCCAGATGCCCTGGCATTATTCATCCACGCTGCATGACAATAAAGATTTCTGTTCGGGAGTTAACTTGCCGGATGGGTGCTCCTGGAGGCGCATTCTCTGCAGCGCTTAGAGGTCACAAGACTTGGACATCAGTGAACAAAAACATCGGCACGTTGACAGCTCGACTGCAAGCTTATAGGCCCTCAGATTCTCCGGTTCTCTGCATCCAGCATCCAACAAGTTGCTCCCTTTTGGAAAACTACTTCACTGCGCGCTGTTGCGCTCCTGTATTTTTTGTGCGCCAAGATCTTTTTTTTTTTTATGCAATCGTAGAGCGCGTTTTCTTCTTTCCTCCCTCCCAAACTTTATCTCAAAAGGATCGTCGACTTTTTATGGGCTCGAATCAATCGCGGATGAAACTTTTCTCGTGGTGCGTAAAGGTGTGGGGCACGCCAAAGTGAACATGTGCCTCTGGGACAAAAGAGGGGGGGAAAGAAATACTCCGAAGATGTCAACATTGCTTTACCACCCACTCGAAATCGATTGTATTACCTTCAAGAAGGTGGCACTCGGTATAAATAGCTACGCGATTTTTCAAGAAAGACGGCGTTGAGCACAATCTGCAGGCTGTTCTTTCTCTTTCTTATCGGAACCGCAGACAACGCCTGGAAGAATTTCCTCAAGACAACTGTGTCCACTCTCCAGGACATAAGCATCTCCTCAACCGGTGAGTACTGGATTTAGTTAAGCGCATTTACTTTATAAGTTAAAAAAAAGAAGAAGAAGAAATAAAGAAAGGAAAAAAAAGAAAAACTAAATAGAATCGCAGAGAGAATCGTGCGTAACCTGTCATGCACCATTTCTATGTGGGATGCCTAACAGGTTGCGTGTGTTACATGACAGAATGAGTGCTTTAGTTTTTCCTCAAAAGTAGAAACGTCAGAAAAAAGTTATTTTGTGCAGCTTCTTAAATGTTTAACTTCAGATTACATCTCTAACAACAACCAAACTTCTTTTTTTTCTTCAGACAGTCAAGCCATGCATGTGGAGAGGAAATGGCACATACTGTTGACCATCTTCTTTCTGCTCATCTCCTCGGGTCAGTGCATGGACAGCAAAGAGGTCAAGCAGAATGAGAGAAGGACCCTGTTGGATCTAATTTTGCAGGTTATCAAGGACAGCCAACAACGGGACAAGCCCGTGTCTAGGCGCTGTGGCAGTGGACTCCACACCTCAGCACAAGACTTCAAGTCCTCTTCCCGGGAAAAGCCTTTGTATGTCCCTAGGCTGGATAACAATAGACTCATAGGTAAGCTGATAAGATTTATTTTTAGGACCTGATGATGAAAGCATAATCCCCATTTTACTGTTGGAGACAGCTGTCATTGGTCTGCTAAGTGCTCCTCTTCTAATGTAGGACCTGTCTCTGGTTTGGCTAAACTGAAACTTGAAACTATATGCATTTTTAAGTTGATCCAAGAGATGTGAACATTTTACTGACTACAAATCTTTATAGCATAAGAAACATTGCATGTGCATTTCATGTGTAATGATTATATAATGCATTTAACACAGGTAAGCTTCATATGTGCAGGACTAAGTTCTTCCATCATACTCACTCTAATTAGATATGTCTTCTTCACGTGTTTTGGACACATCACCCCTTATTTAAACCATGAACAAATGATTAGTAGAGGAACCTATCATCAAATGCAGTAGGAGGAGCATCGTGAGGCCAAACTTATGAATGATTCATTCAGAATGATTCATTGATCATCTTTAAACATGAATGACATCTGTAAATGTTGCTTTTCACCCACATTGGGTGCATCTTTGTGTTCTGTGTATCATAAAAGCAATTCATTCTTAAATTTGTTTTCTTTGAATAATATTGAATGTGATATTCAGGGTCTTTTGTTTATAAAAAAGTTTAATGGAACTCTGCAATTACTGTCCTAAAGTACAGCATTATGTCCAGTTAATCGTTTGTACATGTGCGTTCATTCTGCTCAGTTCCAGGCTTTACTGAAATCAACATATAGACAAGAATTTCTATTTTTTTTCAAGAACTGCACCTCGGTGTGGTGTGTAAAATGAACGTAATGTGTTTGTTTAAGATAATCACTATCGGTTAGATTATGTCTTGGTGATGCTGAGCAGACAGCACACAGCTGAAAGTCTTGGCCTCATCTTGCGCAATTGGAAAAGTACCTTTCTCAGACCAGTGGCTGGATGGAATTTATCTTTTGAGGATATTAAAGGCAGCATATTAGCACTGGTGCGTGTGACGCCACTGGAAGAACGATCGTCACGCAATGATGAAGGCTTTAAACACAGTGAGGATGAGGGGGGAAATGTTGTGGAGTTGTTGCCTGTGTGTTCCTCTCAAGCCATGGCTGTGGCATCAGAATGACAGATGTGAGACTCAGACAAAACAAGCAAAAACATGCATTTCATATCTGCTTTTTTTTTTTTTTTGATGATGCAACCTTTAGCTTGTAGAAGCCGAGGAGTTGAAGCTTTGCTGTTAATGTTTTAGGAAACAGAGGGGACTGCATGCAAACATTTGTTTTATATAAATATACCTTCATGTTTAGATTTGAAGAAATGTTTGTATTTTTTTCTGCAATACCCCTGCAATAGTATATGCTGCCATTTATTCAGTAAGACAAAAACTAACTGAATGTATTTTGTTGGAATTAATACATAATTGTGATGTGTAAGAATTTTTTTTTTAAATATTTCTACTCAAAATCTGAAAAGTGTTTTGTTCATATATTATTTTCTCAACATCTACGTTAGAATACCCCTGTTTGAAATCACAGCATAAATCTAGCTTTTCTTTGAAGGCCTCAGAGTTTGAGTTTGGTTTGAGAACAACAAGCAGCATCACAAAGACCAAGGAGCACAGCAGACAGGTTGAGGAACAGTTGGGGTAAAGTTTAAAACAGAGTTAAGATATAAAATTAGAGCCCAACAGCACAGTGACACTTCAAAAATAGAGTTTGGCACAACTACAAACCTCCCAAAATATCACTGTCCATTTAAGCTGTCAGGCTAGTCAAAGAGAAAGCTCTGATACTGCGAGCTCTGCAGAAGCTGAAACAAACATGTGGACATAGATGCCCTGATCAGCTAAAACCAAATGCATTTTCAGCTGCATGCAAAATCCTCTGTGCAGCAGAAAACTAACACTTCACATCTCCCTGATTCCACCATCAGCAGGAGAATGGAAGATGGTCAGAGATGAATGCAAATAGATGGCAGTGTTTTATGTAATATCACAAAATACAAAAAGCAAAAATCAGTAACTGTTTGTTTGATGGCCTGATAAATAGTTCCAATGTGAAAATCTAATGACAAGTTTCTGTTTCAGATATTGTCCCTAGAGATGCACACCTGAAGGACAAATTCATTCAGCATTTTGGAGGTAAGAAAACTTCCGCTGAAGAACATTTTTGTGAAAACATTTTGGTCTAGAATCTCTGCTACCCTTTGCAGACATTGCAAAACTGTTTTATCTGGGAAACAACTTTAAGAACATATTTGGCACTTTTCCCATGGAACTTTTGGCAGGACTCTCCACGTTTTACCCCTCTGAGAAAAACATTTTCATTCCTGCAAGTCAAGATACAGTATACTGAAGTCATAGACAGCTTTGTGAAGGCTGTTTTTTGGGTCAGAATGGGGTCGCATGGCTTAGCTGCAGGGCAGTAGTTTAGAGAAACAGCACATGGTCTGAAGCTGACAGAATTAAGTTGAAGGCATTGCTAAGCTAAGCTGATTATTTGTCTCAGGACCTGTGAGTAGACTTCATTATTGCTATGAAAATCTGGAAGCATAATCGTTGGTGCAGAAACTCTTAGACGTTATTATAACTGAGAACTTGACTTTGCTTCAGTCTAAATTGAAAAGAGACTAATTAGTAAGTCAGCTTAAACTACAATAAACTGACAAAGTAAAGGCACTTTGGGGTGTAGTTACTTTTGTCTTTATTAGTTTGAAACTATAATTCTTACAAATATGTGGTCAATAAAAGTAAAAACTAATATTAAGCATTTTTATGAGGTGTTGAGTTATTTACAGCATTTAGGTATTAGCAGACTGTGGATTTTTTTGAAAGCCAATGAAAGAAAGGTAAAAAGAAATCCCTTTTCTACTAATATCATACAGATTAAAACCTCCATCATATATTAAATTAGGTTCAAGTTGCTCCTTACTGTAGAGCATGTAGAATCAATCTGTTAGTTTATTTGTACGGCACATTTCACGAAGAAGACATTTTGCTTAATGAAAACATAAAAATATCATAAACACATCATACAGTCACCAATTGTAAAACCAGTAATATTTTGTTTGCGTCACATATAGAAATGTTTAGAAAAATCAAGTGGTAACTCGAATTGGACAACTTTCAGAAGGGTCAGATTATTGACCCTGACCTGTGGCCGCTGATTGGAAACTCAAAATTTTAATATTTCTCCTGTCAGTAAAGCATACTAATTCAACATTCGTTTTTTATTCAGAATAGATTTTATCAACGTTTAGGTGATTTCCCAATTGCAAAGACTACAATAAAGCCCTCCGAAGTTGGCATTCTACCTGGGAAAGCTGAGTAGTCTCGAGTTTAATGTATCACTACAATTCACTTAGAATACAGTGAAAAGTTGCCGGTGTAGTACTTATTGTACTTATAAAAATACGAGCACAGAAAGAGATGTAAAAGACCTCTCAAAGTCTTGTCCTTGAGTACCTGCCTACTGCAAGGTTTGTGTTTTCACTTAAAAGAAAACTTCATCTAGGCGCTTTCACCTTCACTTGTAGGTGAAAACACAGAATGACATAGAAGAACACCTGAAATCAAAGTCTGAATTATCAGATGAAAACTTCACAAACCCGAGTTTTGGAAAAAGGCATAAAATTCATATCAGTCTTGCTAAAGAGTGACCCTTCTGCACTCTGAAGGAAATCATTTTAATCTTGAAGCAGGAAATTCCCATAATGCTAGACATTTAATCATTAGACAAAAATGATCTCAGTATAATTTGCCGTGATTTATGAAAAGCACTCCCAGTTTGGGACACGTAGGAGGAAAACAATAGCACAGCATCAGGTCATGTATTTTTCTCAAACAATTGTTATCGTAAGAGAATTTCTTTTCATTTTACCTAATGTGACCTTCTCTTTTCTCAAGCAGGACATGTCAAGTTCTCGTCGGAGTGCAAAACACACTTTCACAGACTATACCACACCACAAGGGATTGCTCAAGACCAGCATGTGTGTATGCTTTTTCATTTAACAGACAACTAATCTCATCAGTTTTCTCTGTACCTCATTCTCTACTTTTTTATCATTAAATATTACCCCATATTGGCTGAGAAAACATGTGTGTTTAATATTAATATGACTGACATTTTATATGAGCAAACCATTTTTGTTGGCAGAAAGTTCAAGTTATTTCAACATAGAGGCTTTTTGGTTTCTACATGGGTCAGTAAGCATATTCTATATAAATCAACTTTAGTTAGTGTTTTCCAGATCAGATAAAAAATGTTGTTGTTTAGGGTTGCATCATATTAAAAACAGACATGTAATGTCGATATTATTAGTCAAAACTGTGAAGATGATATCAGTCATGACAAAACAGCAGGACTTTCAACGACACCCAAGCACAGTATTAATGAGCCTATTGTTACAGTATTAAGTAGTACTCTCTACTTAATACTGTCCCAGCAATAAGTCCCAGCAATAAGGTTCACATTCTCAAAATTAAAAAAAATTAAAAAAACTGAATATCTTATAGTTGAAAATTTTCTTTTTCTTTTTTTGTCCTAAGTCTTTCAAATCAACAAACTCATTTTTTTGAAAGACAGAAATAGCCAGAGATAATGCAAAAAAACAATTTTCAAATGATGATTGAATTTATCAAAGGAAAAAGTAATCTAAACTAATTGAGCCCAATATAAACAAAAAAAAATCCCTCCGATGCTCATAACTGGCTGTGCCACATTTAGATGTATTTTTCCTCAGAGTGAAGGAACTTTGGATCACTTATCTCAGTAGAATTGTTTTAACTAGGAGAGTCTGCTTTCACGGTTCTGTTTTTGAGGCATGATCCAGATTTAAATCTGAACTTTGATCAGACTACTTCCTAGACTTTATTTTTTGAATTATTCAAAAGCAGACTTAGTGCCCTGCATTGGATTGTCCTGCTGCGTTAGGCATGAGGGGAAGAATTGATGGTCAGACATTTTCCTTCAGGATGTCTTGCCAGAGAGTAGAATTCATAGTTTCATCAATTATGGCAAGTCTCCCAGGTCCTGACCATCAATCCACCACCACCATGTTGGGCTCAGTGTGATGTTTTCTTTTGAAACTTTGTGTTAGGTTTACACCAAATGAATCCATCCAAAACTTCTACTGTTTTATAGATCCACTGAATATTTTTCTGAAATCCCTGGGAGCCATCAAGATTTTTTTTTGACATAAATGAGACGGTTGTTGTGTTTTAGCCTGATCTTTTTTTTTGTAGAAGCATAGCCTAGTCTGAGGCCTGCAGAGTTTTCATTGTGTCTATTTTGACATCCTGGATGAGTTGTCAACATGCTCTTGGGATATTTTGAAAAACACACCAGGCAGATCCACCACTCTTCTGAGTTTTGTGGATCATGGTTTTACCTGTCTGGCTTAGAAATGGCTGTAGGTTTTTTCTAGATTTACAATGTTGATGAGTTTGTTTCTCATCTTGCTGTTTGAGACTCTTCAACCTACCTTATGTCATCAGACTTGCTCTATTAAGTTAGTCATTGATTCTACAGTTCAGCCAATTCAGTTAGTGTGGCCAGTTTAACTAGAATTAAATAATTAAATTGTGATTAATTAATTAATTGTAAATAATTAATGTAGCTAATCACAACAATTCTGTATAAAAACGAGGCATGTATATTTCAAACACAGCCAGGATGATTAAGACAGCATTTTCCACTTAATAAATTAATCATTTAGCATCATCTCTTATTTTATTTAATCAGGTCATCTTTATCTAACATTTATAATCTGAATCATTTTGGTTTTACCAAAAAGCAAACACAGACAAAACCTCATAGGCCAATAAATTAACATCCATTATGAATATTGTGAACAAAGCAACAAACTCCTGATTATTTCTAAGATGGCTTTTGCTGTCATAATGCTCAGTGAAGGCTTCTAATCTGCTTTTCCACTTGAAGACCACATGAGAAGTAATGCGCAAAAATAATTTGTTTTTCATGTTAGAACAATGACATAGGACAAAATTTACGTGGTCCAAACCATTTGGATGTTTTATGTCCAAATTATTAAAACTTAGCTTTGCTTAATAAGCTGAATAATGTCAGAAACGTTGGCGCTTTTATGTTAAAAGAGAGCAATCTTTCTTGCAACTGATGCAGTTTAAAGAAATAATAAAAATCAAGAGCTAAGATACAGGTACAAAAAATTATATATTACTGTACATTTATACATATATAATTTCTTACACCCTTAATCATTCACTAAATACTAAAAATTAAAGCAGACGGTCACAACCCTGAACAGAATTAAAGAAATGTGGAAAACACATGGTTTTTGCCTTAATAATGGAGTATCTTCCAAAAATTTCAGCAAGTCCTTTAGCATCAAAAGTACCTTCATATATGTCCAAGTCATCCCACCCATGGGCACTGTTGCACTACCACAGCTGTTGGCTTTTGCAACTAATAAAAGTCTAGAGGGTCTTTTTAATCTCTGTTAAATCGAAGAGGACGAGGGGGTTGTGTGTGTGTGTGTTGTTTCTTTTTTAAAAGCTGACTGAGACATGAGGTCATCTAACAAGAAAACACATGTTTATAATCCATCTGTCCAGCTGACATGAGCCTTTGTCCGTAGAACTTTGCAAGATTTCCAGCTCAGCTTTCAGTTCTGCCTGTGGTTCTTTGGGTTGTGAACTGGGATAAGTAGCAATAACCATATAGGCTAATATTATTCACTTTGAATAATACTCAGTTTACAAGCAGTGGTCATCACCATCAGGATGGGGTTTTTTTGTTTTGTTTTTTTGTAAAAAAAAAAAAAAAAAAGTTAAATAAAAAATAGAAAATTCTACTGAGGAATTTCACACAAATCAGTGTGTGAAATTCAAAGCCATAGATGGATGCATTTTATAATCAATCCTGAGTCTCACAATTTTTAAAATGGACACAAATTGAATGAAACACCCTAAAAATAGATCACAAGATTTGATTTTTTTTTTTTAAATTACCAATGCAACATGTCAAATCACAAACAGCATTGCAAAATCAATGTTGGCAATTTCAGTCTCAAAAGTTTGAATGCATTACTTTGTTGAATACAAAATTTAAAATGCCACACCAATTAAACTTATATATATGTTTACATGTAAAGCAGACTTTGACCATCCTATGCATACTTGAGGACTATGTCAAGTATGCATAGTCCTCATTATGCATCTCGACTTTAGTGGTCGAGATATTAAAGCAAACTATGAATGATGAATACTTTTTGATTTAAACATAAATCAGAAGGTATCCATTAATTAAAAGTAAGTAAATCAGGGAAAACATTTCCAATTCAGTGTTTGTTGCTTCTTTCTCTGAGATATTTTAAATTTCCAAAATTATGGAGTAAATAGCTGTGGAAGCAGATATGTTAAGTCATGACTCTTATTTGTCCTCGATATTTGTTGAATATCTGTTGTTCTGTAAACGAGCTCATTCTTTTAATTTTTGTAATTGATTAGGTCATGTGAAATTGCTAACAATCTTTTTCTTACCGTTTCTTTCTTTCAGATTACAAAAGGTGTGCAAGATTGCTAACACGATTAGCAATGAGTCCGCTCTGCATGCAGTCATAGGTTTTGTATGTGAGTATTTGTTTTTTCTTCTTGAGTTACCGTTGGTATTTTACATCCCTCGCGAAAACAGAAATGATTAATATGGACATGTAGATGTATACTTTGTGTTGAAGAGATTCACTCTCTGACAGAGAGTAAATCTGTCAGCTGTTCATCTGAGGAAGACTTATCCGCCCTATAATCAGATACATATCTCTTTTACATCTGTCCAACATTTGGATCTGGTATAGAATGTGATCTATCCTTGATCTCTGAAATGTTTCCATGCCAGAATAAAATCTTCTCCTACCATAGCTTTTAAAAACTTCTAAATTAGTTAAACTTGGACTTAAACTGTTAGGACAGGAAGATAACAGACATGCACATTGGGATGATTTTGAGTAACGATAAATGAAAATCAAAATCCTAGAATGGGTTTTAATTTTAAAAATTCACATTTAAAAGTCTTTCAAAATTGTGGACAATATTTTTTCTCAGACATTTAAAAGACTTGTTCCTACTTAGCACAAACACTTGTCGACACATGCCACTGCCCCAGGGGGGCAAAAGCAGTTCATACATTTTGGGAGCATTTACTTTCTCATAATTGCAACAGGCTGGTAGACATAGATATTTTGCCTAGTAAATGAAATCACTTGAAAAATATTTTGTATTCTTTGAGGCTATTGTTTTTCTGATATTAAAATGTACTTAATGGTCTGACGTGTTTAAGTGTGCCAAACATTAGAAACAGTATCACTCCTCTACATTTTTCCCATAACTGGAATAAAGAATTCATTTAATTTAATCATATGAACAACTGTAGATAATGCCAAGCATTATCGGATGTCTTCAGAAGCACATGACTGCATCCCTGAAGTCAAAGAAGTCCCTGAATGTCGTCAGTGAAATAATTCTGGATGTGTGCTCATCCCTTTTTTTAAGGTGATCTTTAAAAACTCCTCTTTCTCTGCTGTCTTGATGGCTTTAAATCTAACATAGGTAAAAGCAGGGCTCACATTGGATGCAATTATGTCCACACTGATGAGTGATTGCCACACACAAGTTCATCTCCCTAAGTGGTCATTCATGGTCATTGGGCTTAGCTGGTAATAATGTAATTGAAGAGACTGGCACATCTTCAGGAATCAGATAATAGGATCCTGTCTGCATTGTTCTGAGAGCTCACACCTGTGTCACGATTGACGAACTTCAGAAGACGTATGAAATGAGTCATGATTCGGCAATTCTGGTCATTTCTCAGTGAACTTTGGCAGCCCAGTAATGATCCATTTTTAGAAGCTGACAACATGAGTTCCTTAGAAAGATGTGAAAAGATGTGAAGATGTGATAAAAAAAATCTCCAGATCCAGCGTTGAGCAACGGGATTTTGATTTAAAAAAAAAAAGAATAAAACTATAAAAAGTACAGAAACTCCTAATGTTTAACTGTGCATTTTTGCATTCGATTTAAATTCCAGGTCGCCATATAACGGAAGAGGGATCAATGTGTTGCCAAGGAAGTGCCTTCAAACCCACAGCAGACATGAGGACGTTCTTTCTCTGTGCGTTTACAGTGTCTACATTTTTGCTGTTGATGTTATAACTCAAAATGATGAATGGACATTGTTGGTTGTTTGTGAGTGGAATGGACCGTGTATTTGAGAGCAGAAAATTTAATATCAAATGCATCTATTTATTGAAAGGACATATAAATATATCTAATGATTTAACAGTCACTGAAAAGCCAATCATTTTGGTTATAAAAGTCATAAGTGATGGAAAGAAAATGTATTTGCTTTATTTTCTATATAAATTCCACTTTTGCTAATTTGCTGACGTTATACTCCATCTTTGTCTTCATCACATTTTATTTGGCACTTGAGTGATTGTTGACAATAAGACCACATAAAATAACGACAATGGTGACAACTCACTGCATTACTAAATAAAAAATACTGAAGCACAGGAGGTTTTGCATTTATTTATTTATTTTAATTTATGGAGTCAGGCAGTGCGATGGGTGAGACCGCGAATGGACTCCCGAGGGCTTGGCACAGCATGTGATGCGTTTATCTCCATACACTTCACTTTTAACAGAAAAAAGCTGTCTTCTCCTCATCTGAATTTGTAAACAGTCGGGAAAGAAGCTGGGTTTCATCACAACCGTGTTCCTATGGGATTGCTTTTTGGGGTCAAATACTTGTTTTGCACTTTTCAGCAACTTTTTCAGAGCTGCTCTCCCTGCCACTCAGAGCAGGTGCTATAATCACTGAGTCGACCTGCTCACCTCCCTTTTTTCTTGGAGGTCACTGCAGATCGTCTGGCAGACTCTCACATTTGCAGTCACTCACTTAATTAAGGCTATCAGATGCCTTGGAATGAACAGGAGGTTGAGCAATCCTTGCTCAGCCAAAAAAATAAATATACAGTAGATAAAACCACAAAAAGCTCCCACAAAAAAAGCACAAGTTTAATGCTTGAAGACATCTGTTTAGCTCAAGGAAAGCACTTGTGAGGAAACTCAAATGCAGTGAAGGGAACTGACTGATTTGTATTGTCGAAAAGTAAAATGTTTCTGGTGCTTGAACTTCTGAACACTTGTTACATGAGAGTGAAATCTGAACCACTTCTCACATTGTGTCCCAGTTTACTTGTCCTCAAGCCAGATAAGGTTTATTTTCTCGTGTTTTCTTAATCGCTCCATAATTAGAAAATACCAAACATAGCATATACAATATTATGGAAAACAAGACAAACAGAGTTGGCTTAGAATGAAAGATCCATTGTAATAAAATTCAAATTGATCATTTTAATTTTCTATAGTGTTTGGATAACTTAGCACCAACAAAGTGCTATAATGTCTGCTGAAACCACAGAAGTGGTTATCCTCCCTTCTGGTCTGGACAATATTGACAGTGATTGCTTTTTGTTTAAGTAGTGAAACAAACACTGAGTCAGGCACACACTCGTACATGCACACAAGGGGGGGTTGCTGATGGATAAGGTTCTGAGAAAACACAAACTACAAGCCAAAGATTACAACAGCTCGGTTCTCACGTCAGCTAGTCTCCACAGAGCGAGCGAGAGCCTTTTCTTTCACAGGCTCATGCATTATTCACTAATAGTTTGGCTTTTTGAGCCATCATTATAAACACATCCGTGGAAAAAGTTGAGTTGGTGAAGAGCATGTTTAATGGTGTGTACAGATACCGTTGCTGTGACTGGGATCTCAATCGAGGCAATGTTTCCAACTTGACATGAAGTTGTCTCTCAGGGCTATAAACCATGTGATAGCCTCTGCTCCACAAATCACAGCCTTCTTAAGAACGGAGGAGTTCAGCTTTGAAATTTATGCTTCACCTAACCCCTGTATATTTTGTCAAACTTGCATACATAAATCCACCCTGAGCAACATGTGGCGAAATATGCGGTGATTACCTGAGCCAATTAAGGAAACGGCTGAAGCTATAAAAGGATTAAGTTGCTAAAAATACAGCTTGCCCCTCATGGGGATGCACAGGGGATCCCTTTCCCTCCGGGTGGGCAGGACAGGGACACTGGATCCTAATCTGAGGAGGATATCACTTATCTGGAGACAAACAGCACAGATTAGGAGAGGAGACAGAAGATGCACTGGGGATAGCATGTGGGAGGGCTTTAACACAATTACACACAAGCATCAAATCCCCTCTCTGGTACCTTTGAGAAATTTGGTGTAATAAATAGTAAACAGAGACCAAAGCCATGCCATTTCCTCCCTGTCAGACTGCATCCGGCCTTGCCAAAGCCCAGGGGCGAAGAGAGGAAACACCTTAATGTCGTCACCTTCTGCTCCAGTGTTATGGCTAACAGCTCCTTAAGAATTTTCACTTTTCAAAACCTCAAACTTCAGTCTGCTTTCAGGAACTTTTTTGTGGCAGACCAAGCTAAAGTAGTGCACAATGTTTATTAAGCCTCTTTTCATTTGATACTTCTAAATAACATCCATTATAAACAATTTCCACTTAGAGGTTGTCTAGACAACACTAAGTTAACGATCAGAAGCATGAAGACCAAAGGAATAAAGCAGGCAGGTCAAGGGTAAAGGGTTGAAGACAGGGTTAAGCTGCAATTCCCTTGAAATATTTCATAAAGTCCTGGTTAATTCCAAATCAAAATACAATTGAGAACCTCTGACTGAGTTTGACCCATTTTTTTTTTAAAGAAAATCAGAAAATGTTTCAGTTTGTAGATATTAAAAGCTCCTAAAAGACTTACACTGTTATTCTGACAATAGTGTCTTCAAGGTTCTGTCTGAAAAGAAAAGCAGCTGATTCAGAACTTACTTGTATGTTACTTTCAGAACATACTTTCTGAAAACTGTAAGTCTAAACCCATTTGGCTGGCGTTACATTTGACCGTTTCAATTATAATATGAAGTGAAACGTTCTTAATTTTAGTCTGTCGTTCAACCTTTGTTTCCTGTGTTACAATATGTCGCCATAATCTTCTTTTTGTGTTTTCCTGTCGTAAAACACTTTTCTTGTGGCTGCAACGTGTTAGGCAAATAAACTTACCAAAAGTTGGTTTTACAAAACATTGACTAAACATTGTTCAGTTGTTTTATTCGTAAGAAAGTATGTTTTTAAAAAGCATGTCATTTTACTTCAACTACAAGTTTTGCACAATTTGGTTTCAGTCTATCACAGAAAGTTAAATACTTTTAAGGCTGTGGTTTTAAAGTTCAAAACCATTGTTGAAGTTCATACTTCAACAGAACAATGTGCTCTACTTTGACTTTAAAAGACATTATCATGAGTCTTTAAGCTGAATTTGAACCCCGGGTGCCATTCCTTCATTGCTGCTAACGTCTCACTAAGAGCATTCGTTGGCCTGATTTCTGTCTTTCTCCCTGCAAACATAAGACCCTGCTTGTCGAACATATTTCATGCTGACACACAAGCATGGTTACTTATGACGTATATCAAACCACCTCTCCCCTCATGCGCAGAAGAATTTTCTGACAAAAGTGCACACGATAATCCAATTTTGGAGACCCTTAAGGCTTCATTCAGGCAAAGCGTTATATTTATAGTGCATGCAGTAGCCACAGTGGCTGTAAAACTGTCGGAGGGTGAATAGATTTACACCAAGTCTCATGATTAATTCATTTCTCTTTTTATATCTTTTGGGGAATGCACAAATCTCGCATGAGTCACCAAAAATATACATTCAGATAACAAGGTCTCAATTAAGGATTTGACAACTGAAAGATGAATACGCTGTCATCATCACAGTGAGAACCTCTCCAACAGTTTCATTGTGCCAAAGGGAAAATGTTGACAGTAAGTAAAACAGGTTCTGTTTTGTGAAAATGTATATATGCACATTTTGACCCAAACCACAGCTGATCAGTGATTTGGTCTGTGGTGTGCAGCAGTTTGACGAGGAGGGAGCTTCTGGTTCTGCCAGCTGAAGGGTCTTTGATCCCCCTGTGCTAGAGGTGTTGGCAGTAAGACTCTGCCACCCCCTCTGCATGTCCCACACTGAGAGTGCTATGATGCCTTTCAATTTAAAGAAAAACCAAAACAAATTACTGGAAGACATCTTTCTCTTCGATGCTTGTTATCCCAACCTGATGAAATCATGTGATCTCAGTTTATTGTACTGAAAGAAAAAGCTTGAAGCTCATGATTAAAATGAACAAACAAAACAAATAACTTAAGAGAATAAATGTGGTTTATTACAGTGATATTTTGGATTATTTCTCATTTAAATGTCAAGCTGGTAGTAACATGTCTTGGTGTACATGTTAGTTTGAGCTGAAATGTGAAATCAAATGATCAGTCATAAAACCTCATAGCCGAATGTGCTCATCAAGTAATTATTCACATTTTGATTCCGGTAACAAAATTAGATACATCATTTTAAATACACTAATTAATCAACTGAGAAAAAATGAATAATTTTTCCATCACATTCTTAGTCTAGTATCGGGTAAAAGCAAGGCCGTTGTTTGCTGATTGGATGTGATGCACACAACTTTCAAATGTTCAACAATTATTGTGGTAAAAAAAACAAAATGTCCAAAATTATTTATACCCCTCTCACTAATACAAGGAAAAGTCTATTGTGTCCTATAGCAATAAAACACTACTACTAAATATGAGCTAATGACCTTCCACTGATATTTTTTAAGGTTGAAAGGCCTCCATCTCATCAGTCACAAACTTTGAAAATTTAATTGAGTCACTTCACTTTTTTGCCTCAATGAGATTTGGAGGCTTTTTAGTAAAGACTCTCGCCTTCCATAATGTTCTTATGGATGGCGTTGTTAGTGATCTTTGCTTTAGTTTAGTTTTCTTCAAACCTTTTATAACATTAATCTTGCAGCAGAAGTTGTTACTTTTGACTTCCACATTCTCAGAGTTTTCAGTGTGGGGTTACTTATGTTTTTTTAATACTTTAAATGAATACCACTGTAACTTTGTAACATTTAGACATTTTCATTTGTTTACTCAGAGAAAACATCTGTTTACAATTAATCTGTGCAATTGAGATGCTTTAGAAAAACATGGAATATTTGGAAGGGTGCAGAGGCTTAAATATTCCCACAATCCAATAAATCAAATGATTAATTTTAGGAAAAAATTTAAAAACCTCCAGAAGAGCAAAATAAGGAATCAATTTGTTAATTAAACAATTAAACAAAGTAGACATCACTGTTTGTGGAAAAATCTTGTTTTATTATCTTCCAAAAATAAAGTTTATATTACATAAAATTGTGGTGCAAAGCATTTTAAAAGTATTGCTAAATAGTAAAAGGCCACAGAAAGTTTACATTTACAGTTTGTTGTTTTTTTATTAAATCTTCAAGAGTTCTTGTAAATGAAAGCAATCTCATTTCTGATTAAATGTGATTAAAATGAAATATATCGGTGCTTAAAGAAAAAATGGCTAGTGGAACAAGTACAAT